AGATTCCCCGATTCGCTCGGTGAATCGGCATAAAAAGTTAATGATGCGATGCATCGGTTTAAAAAGTGTGCATCGGCTACAAGTTGTCATTTATATCACGATGCATCGTTTAAATTAAATTCACGCAATCTCACTAATTTGTGCACGCTTATTCTTAAGCAGACCTTAATGTCGATCATGGATCAAATCGATCCACCATGACAAACAGCGAATATATCTGTGCTGTTTAATGCATTTGAGACGTTGTGTTTACCTCAGTGCATAACTGACATGTCACAGGTATATTTTTCATCTGTAAATGTTAGAAAGTCATGCAAACATATCCATTTTGCTGTCAGGAGTGGGCAAGGCACGCGTGACGCGAGAGCAACGAGTAAAATATATATATTTTATATTTTTTGATAAAAAAAAATGTTTGGACATTAAATGTGTCTTTTATAGAATTTTAAACCTACATATAAAGTGTATTTTTATGATAGCAGTAACTGTAAGTGGACTATTGTAATAGGTAAATCAAATGTAAGCTAGTAGGCTACAGTACTAATTACTAAGCTTCAAAGAAAGGTTTTCCTATGGATTAATTAGAAAAGAGTCCATTTCTACTTTGCACTGTGTCTCTTCCTATGGAAAAGGCAGTGATTTTCCCTACTCACATTCCATTAGGTCGTAAATGTATCTGGTGTCAGGGTTGCCATGGTAACCAGGGTCCTGGGCCTTGTTCACAGACAACTTGGCACCCAGTATGTTTATTGGGTGAGGGTCGTAAATGTATCTGGTGCCAGGGTTGCCATGGTAACCAGGGTCCTAGGCCTTGTTCACAGACAACTTGGCACCCAGTATGTTTATTGGGTGAGGGGTCTGTGAACGTTTGTTAATCTAATGAATAATTGATTTGTTAAATCAAATGAAAAATGGTGTGTCTGATTTGTCCAGACGCTACAACATACTGTGAGAACTTGCTCTATATATGAGCATGAAGCAAAATCATAGATTGAGTAGTATCCACTGCTAAGGGGCATATTTAGCAGAATCACTGATGGTACCTCAAACTTTTAAAGGCTTTCACACCCAAGATAATTAACCCTGGATACTACTAAACCCCAGGTAAATTGGATCCTCACACTGCTCATACTTTACCCGAGTCTAACAATTAATTCAGAATCTTCTTGTATTTCTGATTATTAATGTTTAATTTGTTTAATGATTAATAAAGTTTTGTTATTTTTTGGATGTATGTCTTGATGTATGTTTATTGTATATTTTACTTGATGATGTACAGCACAATGGTCAACTAATAAACTTAATTAGTGCACTATAGTGTTTGATTGATTGAGTCCTAAACCCTGGGTTACTGTCCTTATTTTCATATTTATGGTGTCTGCAGTCATGACTGGATAAACACAAACCACCTCTGGTTTTTGATCATTGAAAATGTTGAAATTCAACAATTTTGGACATGGAGCCACATTGAGATCCCCTTATCCCTGGGATTAAACCATGTAGGGCCTTAAAAATGAAGATTAAAAATAAAAGTGATTTCATCATGATACTAAGCAATATTCACATTTAAATTATGGACCATTTAAAAAAATGTTTAAAAAGCATCCATTGAATGGAGGCAGATTAGTGTCACCTGGTGGAAAGAAATAAAGAAAATAATTTGTAGATCCAGGGCTGTGTATTCCCTAGTTACTGAGAACATGGTTTTCAGACATTACTTATTTTCATTAGGTTTTGCATTTATATACTGTATATATATTAGGGCTGTCATCGTTAAAGCGTTAACGCATGCAATTAATTTTACAATCCTTAACGCGTTAAAATAATTTAACGCAATTAACGCAAAATTACTGAAGCACAATTTCTATTCTAACCCTTTAACCCAATTTTGCTACTCTGCTTGCGATTAGATAATTTTAAGCCGCTAAACTCCGGGAAAGTTTTCAGTCCAATGATCCAGTAAGTGAATGCATTCAAACAATCCGTCCAAAACAGCGCTAATATAAAGGAAACCAGGCTGATTACATCAGAGATTGCAGAGAGAACAGAGACTCCCATTGCGTTTTCAGTGAATTATTAATTCCAGTGTGTCCAGTTCGCTTTAAAACACGAGCTCTGTCATATTCTGTGATTGACTATGAAGAGCACGAGCCCTCACACGCCGCGCTGTGTGAAGTACAGACTGAACGGATTGTCAACACATTTTTCTCGACTGGATTACCAGTCTCGCTAGTAAAGTTTTGATGGATGAAGACTGCAATCAAGGTAAAGACGATTGCGGTGGCGTACAGGAGTCGTACAGTAAGCACGCATGAGTCCGTTATATTAATGCGTGTATGAGTGCTCTTGACGCACTGATCGCACATTGTATTTATGCACAGGCACAGACATTTCCGTACATTCACGTAATGTACGGAAATGGATGTGATTAATCAGATTAAAAATTAATCGATTGACAGTCTTAATATATATATATATATATAGAGAGAGAGAGAGAGAGAGAGAGAGAGAGAGGGAGAGAGAGATGATCAAAGACCAGTTTTGCCAAAATTTTGATTTTTTAAATTTATTTATTTTTTAATGTTTGTTTGAAATTATTTTGCATTGTGATTACAGTCAAACCTGAACACAGAGAAATAATTTTGTTACCCATATTCTAATATAAACCAACAAAATTCAATAAGAATGCAACAAAAACCACAGGAATGCTTGATTCCTGTACATTTTTTGCTCGGGACCTCTGGTTGAGTATATAACAAAACGACTCAGATATGATTTTTGGTCCATACTGTGAAGCCCCTACTATTACATAACAAAGAGGAGGAGGATGTGCAAAATGAGTTGTTTTGGTAGCTTGGTTTGAGTAAAAGCTGTTTTTGGACTAACTTTGGTATGATTGGATTCTAATCAGATATGCACAAAAATCAGATTTGATCAAGGATTCATTCAAACACATGTTTCTGGCTATCGAGATCAGTTTCTGAGTAGATAAATAATGTTTCTGCACTTTTCCTGAGATTATTGCACTCTGAATTGTTCTTGTACAACCTAAACGTCATGTGTTTACTGATATTTGAGACTTTAACACAGAGAGCTTTATTCTGGTTTTATCCCTCATACTTTTAACGTCCTTCTTGTTTCAGTATGGTTATTAGATGATGTTGAAAAAACTTGTGCAGCTGTTACTGGCCTATTTGTAAGAAAGCAGAGCCAGACTTAATAACCAGAGGCATGTTGCATAAAGTTGGTTTCAGTTGCTACCTGTGTAGTTTGAGATTACTTTGAGCAAACTCTGTTTTTTGGATTGGTTTTAGCTTTGTTCATCGACATGTTAACTTACGCTACACGGATAACCTGCTCCAGAGCAGGATTTAGCTGCGTCCGAAAGCTTTAGGCTGCTGACTCGCTCCCTTATCAGGCGATGACTTTGAAGGCAGCGTTTGTGCATGAAGGCACCTCACCAAACTGATTTCAGACAGACTTCTGAGGCAGCATAACGGTTTAATGATCGACAACTAGATAAAGCTTTGGATAAAAGCGTCTGCTAAATGACTAGCTAAATATAAATGTAAAAAGCGAACTTGTAATTGTAATTAAGTGAATATTCTAGCTAGAAATTACATCAAAGGTGGAAAAAGAAACTACATTTACACACAAACTGACCACCAAATGCATCTTTTAGATGCCATCTTTATTTTTTAGCTCAACTGTCACAATGCACAGGATTGTGGGATACAGCTGCCTTCAAAAATCGATCAGATAAAGGCATCTCGGGAGACAGGAAAAGACATTGGATTCGGACGTGCCTTGATGCCTTCTTATCTTGGAATGCATCCTAAAGGCAGCATTTTTCAGCTTTCGGACGCAGCTTTAGATCGCAAACCAAAACTGGACCAATCAGCTGTGAGCAAAGATACATACAGTATATATATTATATATATGTGTGTGTGTGTGTGTGTGTGTGTGTGACCCTGAATCACATTAGGGTACATTTTTCGAAATTGAGATTTGAAAGCTGAATAAATAAGCTCTCCATTGATGTATGGTTTGTTATGATAGGACAATATTTGGCCGAGATACAACTATTTGAAAATCTGGAATCTGAGGGTGCAAAAAAATCAAAATATTGAGAAAATCACCTTTAAAGTTGTCCAAATGAAGTCTTTAGCAATGCATGCTACTAATCAAAAATTAAGTTTTAATATATTTACGGCAGGAAATTTACAAAATATCTTCATGGAGCATGATCTTTATATCGTAATGATTTTTGGCATAAAAGAAAAATTTATAAATTTGACCCATACAATGTATTGTTGGTACAAATATACCTGTGCTGCTTATGACTGGTTTTGTGCTCTAGGGTCACATATTGTAAATAACACTTTACAACAAGTCTTGTTAACATTAGTTGATACTTTGGTATCATGAACCGTGATAGTCCAGTGTCTTTTTTTTTTTTTTTTAATGAATGAATGAATGAAAAGCACAATTTGGTCATCCTTCTTTTGATGGCAGATGACAGATTTGACAGATACACGGCTAAATATTACTTTTCAAAATGATCTAACACCAAAACTACTAATTAAACTACACATTTCCTATACATCTGTAAGAGACCAACCACCAATCCTTGCAATTTCAAAGACTGATAATTTAGGGCAGGGTCCTTCAAATCCAATCCTGGAGGGCCACTGTCATGCAACCTTACCAAACATCCCTGAACAAGCTAATCAGGGTCTTCAGGATTATGCAAAAATGATGGGTAAATGAGTTTGATCAGGGTTGGAGCTAAAATCTTCAGTACAGTGCTGGATTTGAAGAACGCTGATATTGTATTCACTCAAGATTGACTGCTTGACCTGTTCTGTGAGCTCTTGTACTGATCAGTATATCTATTCAGAAATGTTTACCTTTTGTGAGGTTTTGAGTGGTGGTGACACGTCTTCAGATGCATCTGCCTCGCAGAAGGATTTAAAGGGATTGAACACCATGGATGCACATTGTGTTGTGGTCTGTTTGTCTTTGTCTGCTGTTATTTTTGTCACATTAAGCTCTGTGATGAAAGCTAAACCCTCTGTATCGAGTGAGAGTGAGTGTGGTCGACAGCTTGTTATTATGGATTGTGTTTCATGTTATTGATGAGTGATTTAAAGTGAATGCATCTGATCAGTGTGCTGATTTCTCACTGATACTCGTCTGCACACACAGCTGGGAGAAGGGAAAAACAACACCTCACCCTCTCATTCATGCCATCTCTATAAAGATGCCATTTTACTGTATTACAGTACAAATAGTGTAATAGCTGCAGTGCTTTATTAAATCAGCACAAAGCATTTTTTTTGTATTTAGTAAGAATTTGGGTTACACTTTATTTTAAGGTTACATTTAAATACTGAGTAATTTTAATTAACTACATGTACTTACTATGTGGTTATGGTTACTTGCATGTAATTATGCATAATTTATTGTTATTATAATAGTAAGTGCATGTAACATGTGTAACAATGACACTGTAAAATAAAGTGTTAGGCTACCAGAATTGGTTCTTGACATATTCTTGACAGGTTTTATATGATTCATGAAGGGTGTCCAAATTATTCATACTCTTCACCATCAGACAGTTTTGTATATCATGGTTTATCACTGAATATTTGATTATTTAATCTGATTATTGTCTTGTTTTATTTGTTAGATGGCTACCTAGTTTGCTGAATAAATGAAGTGATAGTCTTTATTTAATGTTGTATCAGTACGTTTTCAGTGTTGTGTAGAGAAACTGCGAAAGTTGTTTAATACAGTTGACAAGCATCAGCTTCATTGAATACATACCTTTCTATTTTTTAACTTATGGGATACAAATGATTCCTAATGAACTCGGAATCATTCACGAGTTCAGTTTCTGAATTTGAATGAATCTTTGTGTTTCATACGATGTCTCTGCAGTGAGTAAAGTCATTTGCTCTGCTCCTCTTACCTCTCTTTTTTCCAGATGTTGGCGGGAAAGGGTGCAGCGTGTCTGACATGTAAAGGGATCTGCTCTGGATTCCAGCCACATTCCTGGAGGTAATTTATTTTCTTGACTACAGACATAAAAAAGGGAGGAAAAGGCTTCCACGCCTGTTTCCTTTCTCTGAATATGTATGTGGAACGCTGGATTTACTGTATGTGTGTGTTGGGAATGACTCCATGGGCTCCATGTTTTCATACCACAGGCACCACAGGCTGTTTGCCTTATTAATTACTGTAATTTTTGAAAACAAATCTATTTTACTGCATAATGACGGCCCTGCAGTTCAGCCCCAGTTCCTGGGGCCTGTAAAAGCAGGAATGTTTACCATTAACATGATGACTGTGAAGTAGAAGACACTCTGTTTATATGTGTAATTACTCTGCTGTACAAACACCAGTGTGTCATTGTGAGTCAGTATGCATTTAAATCTGACTAATATTAAAAGGAATTATGAGTAATGAAAACACATTTACACAGCAACAGGAAATGGAATGGAAGCTTGAGAGGACTACTGAAATATCTAAATAAAATAGAAATAGTCGCTTTAGCTTTATAAAGCTTTCAAATTAAATCAAAAGCTTAATATAATATAATTACTATTATTTGATGCTTCCAATTCCAAGACAGAGCAGCATATAAAGGATAAAAATATAATTAAAAATGGAGAATGTGTGTATTTGCCACTTACTCAAATCAATCATACATTTTTAATGTTTATACATTTTTAAATTACTGACAAAAATTGAGACTTCATCGGACAAAAAATCTTGAATAAATCATTATAATCTAAGTCTGATTTCATCCATCTCTCAGTTTTGCTGTGCAGTGTGCTTTAATTGGAAGTGTCAGAGACAGGGGATTGATTGTGTCAGAGATGTCACTGTTTGTTTGGGGTTATTTTTACATGAGAAAATAGCAACGTAAACAACAATAGAACATAAGGATTTGCACATCAATGTTTGTTAATCTAATGAATAATTGATTTGTTAAATCAAATGAAAAATGGTGTGTCTGATTGGTCCAGACGCTACAACCTGCAGCGCTGCTGTGAATGGAGAAAAACAGACAGAATAAAAATAGGCCTACTCAAAATACATTTCACTTAATTAATGGTTTATCAAAAGTAAAACCCACATTTAATCATAATAGCCTATAGTTTGTGTGGGAAACCTACCTCAGTCCTCTGCCTGTCTATTGGTTTCTGTTTTTAAAAAAACTAATAGTAATCAAAATGCCAAAAAATCATTCCCAGTACTGTGAAATTGGCACATAAAAATTAAGACATGGCACAGTGGCAGATCATTGTAGTAACACTGTTCATTTAGCTCACTTGCAATACTACAACTACTGCTACTAATACTGAACTAATAATACTAATAATAATGTATTTGAGTATTCATCAAATACAGGAATACACACAGAAATCTATATGCAAGCCTGCAATAATTAAGAAGTAAAACTGTCCCCAGATTTTAAGTAGACCTTGAAAGTGTGTAATTTATAGAGACTCACATGATACGTGGAAAAAAAAGATAACTTACAAACATGTTTTATCAGTTTGTCCTTTAATTTTAGTTGAAACATGAGGAGGTTTTATTAATTCATCCCTTTGTTTTAATTCCAATGTTTTAGTTAAATTGTGGTCGCCTTTTATCTTTTTAGGTGAATCATCTGAAAAAATTATTACAACACACGTTTAAGAAGGAAATTAATAATAAGCGATTGATTTCTTAATTTCTTAACACAGTATTTTCTTTCTGCATGTCACATGGGTTAACTTCACATAAAGTGAAGTGACATGTGGCCAAGTACGGTGACCCATACTCGGAATTAGTGCTCTGCATTTATCCCATCCAAAGTGCACACACACAGCAGTGAACACACACACACCCGGAGCAGTGGGCAGCCATTTATGCTGCAGCACCCGGGGAGCAGTTGGGGGTTCGGTGCCTTGCTCAAGGGCACCTCAGTCGTGGTATTGAAGGTGGGAGAGAGCGCTGTACATTCACTCCCCCCACCTACAATCCCTGCCGGTACGAGACTCGAACCCACAACCTTTGGGTTACGAGTCCGACTCTCTAACCATTAGGCCACGACTTCCTCACATACAGGTCTCTGTAGTACAGAGCCCTAAAGGGACATGGTGGTGGAAAAAATACTTTTCAAATCTTTTGCGTTCTCTGGCAAAACCAGTTGAGTTCGGACAAACAATCCTGTTAACTTTACAGCGTGCAGTGTGGTTCATACAGCTCTTTACCTTCACAATGGAGCGCTTCATAGTTTCATTTTGAACTTGGACTCAAGTATAAAGAAATGCAGTCAGTGCTTAAGGCACGGTTTACATTCTCAAACGCTTGTTGCTTAATGTAGGCTACTAAAACAGCGACATTGGAGGACCAAATTCAGTAGCCTTATTAATAATTACTATTAATACCAATAACACTATTAATATTAATATTGACATTTTGCGAGAGAATGCAAAAGTTTTGCGGGGGAACGCAAAAGTGTTGCGAGAGAATGCAAAAGATTTGAAAAAAGAATTTCTAGAGAATAAAGAAAATATTAATGCATTTAATTTATATAAAGAATAATGCATTAACTAATTAGAATACTAATTATAATAATGCATTAAATAATTAGAATAATAATTATTATAATGCATTAAATAATTATTGCTCACTTAAATAATGCATTTAAGTGAGGAAAAATAAGTAGATATAATGGGATAATGGGATTTCAATAATAGCGTTAGGCTAACTGAGACTTGTCATAGCACTTGCATATCGCTCTTTTGTTGATTGCTTCCATTGTCCTCATTTGTCGCTTTGGATAAAAGTGTCTGCTAAATGACTAAATGTAAATGTAATTTTGAGCTATATGCAAAATAGTTTGGGAAAGGTTGACATAAGGTAATGTAAAAACAAGCAGGCCAGGCTTATTTCAGTAGTTTAAAACTCAAGTTGCAGAAGGCTGAACACATTTGCATGTCAACTGTAGGATCGATTCAGTTTATACAGAGGTCTGTGTTTTCAAGTAGATGATTATTTGGTGGGGCACTGTCCCATCAGCCTCTGCAGCTGAGATGAGGCTGGTACAATGCCTAATAAACTATAGCTGTGATTTGTGCAGGAAAGCTTGCATACAGTGCCGCTGCAGTCAGGAGGAGCATGTGTCCAGCTCCGACACTGAGGATGACCGCAAGGTGGGGAGACTGCTGGCAGAGTCCCGTTATGCCCATCTCACAACTAAGGTTAAGGGAGGAGACGGCACGAGGGTCTATAAACGCAACCGCATGATTGTCACCAACCCAGTGGTCTCACGTAAAGACCCAACATTCAACACCGTCACCTATGACTGGGCCCCACCAGGCCTCACCCAGAAACTGGTAAGAGAGCCCAGGAGAGCTAACACAAGTCATGCTAAATACCTGTGAAAACTCCAATATACTCTGACAAATTTACACTTAGTAGTTTATTATTGTAGTGTGAAGTGAAAGTGCACTGTAAAAAAATCAAAAGTTCAGAAAACTTAAAAGTTTAAGGCAACCAGCTTCAGAAGATTTTTGAGTTTTCTCAGCTTTTGTTGTATAAAATGAAAACAAGAAGTTGAAAAAACTCAAATCTCCTTAAACTTTTAAGCTTTCTCAACTTTAGATTTTTTACAGTGTAGTTCAGTGCTGATGAGTCAAGAAGAGATACTAATGTGGTTTAGTTGGAAAACATTCATGGTAGTGATTAGCTAGTGAAAGTTCAGTTTTACAAGATACAAAAATTTCTACAAGCCTTTTCCCCCAATTTGCATATATAAAATACAGAAGCCCTGACCAACATGGTGAAAAAAACATCACAAGGTCTGTAGTGTCTGAGGCCTTCCTTGGTGTCATTCTCTGTAAAAAAATAAATAAATACATACATAAACATACAAATAAGGATTCTGGAGGCAACACATGAAACATGATACATTTTCATGCCCCTAAACATGATGCTGAACAACACTAATTGTGATTGATTGCTTTACATGTCAGTCTGAAGGCAGTCCTTGGCCAATGAAAGCTGTCTGAAGGTCTGGCTACACGAGACTACATATGTTTCATATGGCATTTGTTGTCAGTTGTTGCAACTGGAGCTATTTTTCAATTCAATTTCAATTCAATTCAATACACTTTATTGTCCCCAATGGGGAAATTTGTCTCGGACCCAGGAGCCCACATACACATACTCTGATCAACATTACATTGCATAATAAAAATCCACATAAACAAAGATAAAAACCAACATTCAAAGCCACAATAACAACCATAACCAACATGTATAAATTACATGCTTAAAACATAATACATGTAACCCCTTGTTGGTTATTTCTAGTTGTTTGTTGACCTTCAACATTTGGATTATCAGTGTTGTTATTGTTTTTGAAAATATATATTTGAAATTAAACAAACATGCAACAGTCTTTTTAAGTGGACCAAAACAGAACCCAGCTGCATTCGTAGCAGGTTTTCACAGCAGAGCACCAGAATGCACTGGTTCTCACAGATGGCACCAAAAGTAGTATTGTGAGGTTTGGTCACACGTCACTTAAGGTATGAAAGTTTTAGTTGACTGCTTCCTTCTTTTATTCCTGGGCACCAGCCAGAGTTAGTTTTTCGCGAGTTATATCATCTAATGAAAGATGTACAGTTGTTTCTCTATATTTTATTCTGAATTCAACAATAAACTGAATGATCATTTGTTATTAAAGGACGTCAGCTATACAACATCTAATGCAAATTAGAAAATCATATTGACAATACACTAATAATGCCAAGGACCCTGGAGAAAGGTTTGGTAAAGTGATGTTTATGGTCCGCTTGTTCAAGTGATGTCCTCCACTGGTTACAAGGAGTTATATTACATTTAAACAGTCTTGAACACAAAGAAAGCTTGTGTACAAACTCCTGGAGCACCAAGAAGGTCTTAAGAGTCTGGAACATGCAGATTAATTTACCTTGGAGGTGAAGGCTCTGACGCTGATGCAGACGATCCTGACAAACTAAATCTTGCAGATGTGAGAGCCTTGAAGAGAAAGTTTGCTTGAACTTTCCTTTTTGCAGAGCTTTCTTGCTTTGTTCAGTACTTTAGAGCTTCAGATTGTGGAGAGTTTAAGAACATTTTTAAGAGACATGTTTGCTTCCAGCTTTTTAGTCTTTCCTGAGCTGGAAGGATTTGCAAACTGGCGCTTTTCTGTTTCAGTGATCACTAGCCACAGTATGGCCCAATCTTATGTGCTTACAGTTCACAGTTTGGACAGTGTCTTTTAGGTTTTACCTATGAATTATTGATAACACTTTATTTTAAGGACCAGTTCTCGCTAATAATTAGTTGCTTATTAGCATGCATATTACTAGTATAGTGTCGGTTTATTAGTACTTATAAAGCACATATTAATGCCTTATTCTGCATAACCATATTTCAGATCCCTTATTTCATAAACCCCATATCTAAACTTAACAGCTACCTTACTATGTATTAACAAACAGCAAATTAGGAGTTTGTTCAGGGAAAACCCTTAGTTAATAGTAAATATGTGTTCCCTATTCTAAAGTGTTACCGAATTATTCACTTTCCAAACCACTATTTTTTACCTTGTCATGTGCACATAAAATTTGTCTTTTTTTGGTTCTTTTGTTGTGGTTAACTGTATTAATTTTAAATAAGTGACATGAAACTGCAATGCACAAAGACCTGGGACTACTTCACAGCAGTGCAGTTAAACGACAATCATCAACAAGTTTGAAAATCAGGGAACCAGTTAGAATCAAGATTTCAACAGTATCATAGTACATTTATAATTATGTCTTAGGTTTCTGGCATTTCTTGTCAAATGTCAGTCTGCTATGTTTTACAGGTCTTACAGGCGTTTGGCTTGCGTTTGGTGAAACACTTGCAACTCAAGTTAAAAATAGCCCTCTCTATTAGCTAAAGGTATGGAGCAGCCTTGCTTAATCGTGTTGTTGGGCACATACCTTACATTTGACTTAATGGAAAAGCCACAAATACATTTGTCTGACTGATCTCACATGAATTTGAGGGGATCATTGTATGGCAAGGTAGGAGGGTGGATGAAGGATGCCAGGCTAGGTTGGGGATTTGTACAGTTTATTTTGATAGCAGAATGCGCTGGCTGCTGCTACCACCACCAGGAGAGTAAAGCAGCTCAAAGGGTCTGCTTTGTGAAACAAAGCTCTCATTTAGTCGTCTATTTTCAGCAGGGAGGGTCTGCACACATGTGCAGTAGGACAGGGTTCTGGAAACAAGCCCTATACTTTGCCCACAGTCGGCTGCCAGGAGTCATGCCGCCTGTGTGCCTAAAGCCCTTTCATCTTTTGTTTTTCTCTCAGCTTTCTCTATATATTGCTGTTTTTAAATTAAAAGGTTTTGGAAAGCTTTGTTCTTAGCTAGTTGTTGGAGGAACATTTACATTTCTGCTGTTTGAGTTGAATGAGTGAAGCATTTGTGCTGTTTTTGTTTGGAATGCAGATTTTTGTCCTTCATATAGAGTTTTGAAAGTGGAAGCATTCATTTTTTGGGAAAATTTGAAGTGAGTTATTTGAAATGTGATTAATTGCAAGGGATTTTTTTTCTTTCATTCATTTTTTTTGTTTCACAAAGCAGGGTCCCATTTAGTAAATTGAAGCCCTTATTGTAGCAACACAGCTAGACACTGGCTGAAGCCCCTGATCTTTTGTTAATGAGCTCTGAATGAGCTCTGGTTTTTATACATTTTGTGAAATAAATAAGGCTTAATGATAATTTCATAGATCAAAATTGGCAATATCAATAAATTAGACTGTGTATCTCTTGTCGCTATTAAAGAAGACGAGTGAAAAGGAAGGGGTTGCACATGAAGCCCTGGTTCATGTAGTTTTATTTACAAACTTTATAAAGTTTGTAAATAAAGGTGAGATGATGAGGATTTTGATTAATCTGAGTGACTTGATTCTGTTGAATCCATTCACCAATTACCCAATTCATACACAATCTACCCAATCTATTCAGTTAATTCCATTTACCAGAAAGATTTGTTCAGATTCGTTCATCTGTTTAAACCTTTTCTGCAGTCAAATGTCAAATGTATTTGTATAAAGTGCTTTTCATGTTTCCAAAGCAGCTTTACTGTTATGTCTTAATGCCGTATTGCTTTGCCATAGAGCAAGTTTTAGGGCTCATATAACATTGATTATATAGTGTTGTCTTGTCTAGCACATAATCAGTGCTCCAGTGATTCCAGTGGCACATGTCTGAGTGTTCAGGGGCAATTAAGATATTTACATATTGGTCAGTATTGTTCTATTAAGAGATTTAAATGTTGGTTGGTTTTGTTCTACACAACAGTGAGCAGTTCATAAAAAGAACTGATGAAAAAACTGATGGACAACACATTTTGTGTTAATTTCAACTCAACCAGTGTGATATTCTTTTTAACACAATTTGATATTCTTCAAATATTTAACACACTAATGTGTCATAAATCACACAATTTAACACATCTATGACAAATTGTGTGATTTCTGACACATTAGTGTGTTAAAAAAAATAGATGTGTTAAAAACAACACAACCTGTGTTATATCATAACACACCTGTGTGTCAAATTAGGGACAACACATTTTGTTTTAATCAAATTTTAACATTTACATTTAGTCATTTAGCAGACGCTTTTATCCAAAGCGACTTACAAATGAGGACAATAAAAGCAGTCAAAACTAACAAAAGAGCAACAATATATAAGTGCAAATGACAAGTCTCGGTTAGCCTAACGCAGTACACGTAGCAAGGTGTATTTCTTTCAATCGCTTTACATATACGTCGACTTTCCAGGTCCATTATTGTGAAACCCGCGAGACACAACAAAAACAGCTCCGATCACAGCGTCCTCCATCCTCCTGTTAATGTTGTTCTTCTTTGTTTCTGTTGTTGAACGCCGCGCACAAATGACGTCGCTGTCGACCGGCACCAATCAAAACTCATCCATGGCTCCCAGAATGCATTGCAACATGAATAAATTATGCACCTGAATTGTCTTAGTATTTTCTTTTATTCTTACTATTTGCTTTAATGTTTGCTGTTTTTGTTCTGACTTTTTAGTAGCTTGTTTTGTGATGTTCAAAGATCTGTTTATCTGAATATGTTGTTGATTGTCACCATTGTTGAGATTCATGTGCAGATTCTTCATGTCTATGTGTGCCATAAACAAACAATCCTAGTGCACATCATTTTTTAAAATTGTTTAAATTGTCCAAGCACTGTTATAATTCGACCTGCAAAAAAAAGGGCTACTGTAATCAACATTGATGAATGTAACAATCAGTGAATCAAGACACTACATGATGATCGTTTTTAGTATCAAGTAGCTAACATCACCTGATTTTCTCTAGGATCTTTTTTATTGCAATAAAAACTGTTGTAAGTTTAAGGGTCAAGAGCACAACTAAAGCAAACACTGACCACGGTGATGGTGACGTTTTGTGAAATGAAACTAACATCTAAACCTCTGTAAGGAATTTAACTCATTAATTTTATTTCTAGCTCAGGTTTGAAAGGACTTCTGATACAAAGAAAGCTTTGTTGTCTCCTGATTGAATTAGTTTCGATCTCATGAGTAGATGAGACAAGACTGACAGGAAATCGCCCCCCGAATATTGGAGTCATGTGCTGGGGTGATTAGCAAACCTCATGATGGCTGATAGGGGCATATCAGTGTCCGTTCATGTACTAGAAATCCCTACACCTCTGTTAATTCTCATTAAGAACTTTTGTATGACAGAAATAAAGTCAAACTGCTTACTAACAAGTGAAGCTGGTGATTGGTGTTGTTTAATGCTCCTCTGCTGAGATCTTGAAAGATTTAATGTGTTTTATTTCAGCTGATTTCATCTAAGGCTGTGACTAAGCCAGTTGTAGTTGTGTTTCTGTTCTTCTCTCTCTTTTTTTCTGTTTTTCTTTCCTTCACTAATTCTGCTTGTTAACATTCTCATTAAGTTCAATTCTGCTTCAGTGTTACTTCAACACTCTGCATTGTGGGACCAAATACACTCTGAGCAGTGTTGATCCCTGAAGGTCCTCCAAATAACGTCCCCCAACCCTTTAAAAACTACACGTCATGAGCATCTCGGGAAACGTTCTGGGAACGTTATTGACACCAGCGGGACGCTCTGAGAATGCTCTGGGAACATTACATTTCTAGCGAGGAAATCCATAAGTCTGACATGAGTGCATCCACGTCATCCACCAATGAAAAAAGAGGAATGAATTTGGTTAACAGCTTGTGGAGTGACATAGCAGCAATGTGATTGGATGATAGTTAACACATATTGTGTTGTTTCTCTCTCTCTCTTTTTCTTTTTACACATGATCAACTTAAAATTACACAAAATGTGTTAAAATGGAAATAACACAAAAAATGTGTTATTAATTAACACATCCTTTTTGAGAGTGTAGTATGAATGAACACATTTTTCTTATTTATACCACATTATAAAATATATTGCTTTAAAGCCACAAATATCATAACTGTTATCTTTTGTTTATTTTTAACTATGTGAATGTCTCAGTAGGATTATTTGTTTGTTTCAGTACATTTCACTTTGGATTTTTTCGTAAACTACACGCTCAAAAAGGATGTGTTAATTAATAACACATTGTTTGCACTGCAGCATGAAGCTTTTTGTTTATTGTCACCATCGTTGAGATTCATATGCTGATTCTTGATTAACGTTTGCATCTAATTCACACTGATGTTCAAAATGTTTTCTTCTAGTTTTGTTGCCAAAGCAATTGTGCTTTGTAAACACAGACACAGCAAGATTTAGGAAAACTATTATTACAAAGTCAAGGGTCAAGAGCCCAACTAAAGCAAACACTGATCACATTAATGGTAAGTTCAAATGAAACAAATTCAACATCTAAACCTCTGTTCTCAATAATAACTTTTTAGTCAAACTGGTTAGTAATAAGTGAAGCTGATAATGCTGTTTGTGGAGTTGTTTAATGCTCCTCTGCTGAGATCTTGAGAGATTTAATGTGTTTTATTTCAGCTGATTTCATCTAAGGCTGTGACTAAATCAGTTGTAGTTGTTTCTGTTCTTCTCTCTCTTTTTTTCTGTTTCATATATATATATATATATATTTGTATTGCATTCATTATAACTGGTTAAGAATAGCACATCTATGACACAAATTGTGTGATTTTTGACACATTAGTGTGTTAAATATTTGAACACACTGCCTGTGTTAAGAAGAATAACACACTGGTTGTGTTAAAATTTGATTAACACAAAATGTGTTGTCCCTAATTTGACACACAGGTGTGTTATGATATAACACAGGTTGTGTTGTTTTTAACACATCTGTTTTTTTAACACACTAATGTGTCAGAAATCATTTGTGTCATAGATGTGCTAAATTGTGTGATTTATGACACATTAGTGTGTTAAATATTTGAAGAATATCAACTTGTGTTAAAAAGAATATCACACTGGTTGAGTTGAAATTAACACAAAATGTGTTGTCCTTAACTTGACTTGACTATAACACAGGTTGTGTTGTTTTTAATACATCCGTTTTAAGAGTGTAAGAGAATGTTAAGTATTTGTTGGAATTCTTTAATGGCTCAACGTCTGTGATTTGTGATGTAGGGTTGTAATTGTAAATACCTTAATAAATAATTAGACCTCAGTGTTAATCTATCACATAATTAAGAGAAAGACCATATAATCTCCCCATTGAAGAGCTGATCAATTATCTTTAGATATATTTAGAGATCTTCCTATCTACTACAACCACTATATCGAAAGAAGGAAAACTGGCAGAGGTGGGGCTTTCAAGTCACAAGCAAGTCTTCAAGTCATATCCCAAGTCCTCAAAGAGTTAAAGTTAATGAGATAATTAAGTGACTAATTAAATGATGATTGTGCATTAGTGATGAAAACCTGCTGTTAACAATCAACATCATTGAAGAAAAGAGAAACACAAGAACTACATCTGACTTCAGCCACAGCCTTGGATGAAATCAACTGAAAAAAGAAAAAAAAAAACACACATACACGCAATGTCACCATAATTGTGGTCAAGGTTTGCTTTAGTTGGTCTCTTGACACTTTTACTAATCCCAAAATTATTTGTTTTTAAGCAATTGCAATGTTGTTTCAGAGCAAACGTTCATGCATTGCTGAATCAAAATATCGAAGTAGCAGATGAGCTTACACTTTCTGCATATAACTCATGATGAATGAACTTATATAAATGAAGTTTATTGACTGACCTTCAACTATTACGGAACTGAAAAAAAGAAATCCCACTAAACAAATGCCTCCATAATGCTTTGATATTGAAAAATGTATTAGATCAGGCTTTTAGACATGAGCACTTATCATACGATCCTCAACAGTGGTGACAATAATTATTCATACTGCAGTGCATGATGGGAGTTTTTATTTTTTATTTCTATTTGAGCTGCACTTTGTTTGCTTGCTGCAGTTTCACAGGGCTGATTATATAAAACCTAAACTTATAAACAGAAAAAAAAGTTATTTTGATTCTAATCAGGCCAGTTCATGATGACTTTCTCATCATGTAAAAACAGCTAATAGCTGCATAGCACTGATTTCTCTGTTTTACAATACCTCATGCATTACTGCAGAGAGAGATCTAGCACCAAAAGTCAAGGGTCAAGAGCCCAACTAAAGCAAACACTGATCTCCATGATGGTGCCATCATTTTAACCAATAAAACATCAACATCTGATCCTCTGTAATTCTCAATAACAGCAGGTGTTCATCACTAATGCACAATCATCATTTAATTAGTCACTTAATTATCTCATTAACTTTAACTCTTTGAGGACTTGGGATATGACTTGAAGACTTGCTTGTGACTTGAAAGTCCCACCTCTGAAAACTGGATTACTCATAATGGGTAGTGCACTCTCATCTTTTTTGCATTGTGGACCAAATTTTGAGAATATATTTACTTTCTTAACTTTTTCTGTGCATGCAAGTCCATAAATGGCAAAACTATCAAATATAATTTGAATTTTGTTCAGTAGTAACTTATTCTACCTCCTTATGATTACTATTTCAAGCAACTGTAGCCCTGAGCAGCCCAAAAATGGTACCATAAATTAGAGAGCCTCTAACTACCACTGCTTTTATTTGACATAAGTGCTTTTTGTCATATTCTTGGTCTTTTATTATGCCAAATAAATATTAATTTACTAAATGCTGAGAACGGAACCCACGCTGGAAGAGACTGAAATAGGAAAAGAAGTCTGGGTAACGCATTAATTTTGATTGTTTCTACCCTACCAAACATAGAGAGAGGTAGTACTTCCCATCTTGCCAAGTCTGTATTTATTTTTTCTGAGAGCCCTGTATATTTGGCCAAGTACAGCCGTGATAATTTAACGGAGTAGGCCAGCTTCCTGAGATCATCATTGCCTCAGACTTTTCTGCATTTACTATATATAGAGAAACTAAGCTACAGTCGCACATAATCCACACTGTTTGTTAAAATCTGTTGGAATTTTCATGAACATACAGTATTTTATTATATGGATAAATAAATTATCTTGACATAAGGTGCCCTGTAAAATTCACTGAACAGTCTTGGCACTCAAGATATCAATCAATCACATTTCTTTTGGTAATTCTCTCTAAAGAAAAGAATAAACAAGAAGTAAACCATACGATTATTTCACAGTTTTTTCAAAAGTGTTTATTTTTTATTTTTTATATGAAGTGTGGTTCTATTATTGTGATTGCACTTGTCTGTCTGTCATTTATACTCTTTATACTGTGCATATTTTTTAAAAAAATTATTATGATTAGGTTTAACCTGTGGGATTAGTGGCACAAAATATATTTTAAATGCTATTAATTACTAAAATGGTAATTTTCATGCACATTTCTGTCTATTACGTTTTATATGTTATTTTTACATTCTCTATAAAATGGGTATGTTTAGGTTTTGGTGTATAGGTTAAGGGATCTAAAAATGTAATTCATTTATTGATCAAAGTGATACTATACAAGTATCCTTATGATTTAAAAGATTTGTACTTTTTTAGCTGTAAATATGTAACAATATTTATGTTTTAGATGTCCAAATTCTATGTCCCAGCATATTTGTAAATGTTATGCACTATGTATAAACGCTGAGACCAGGCATAATTCTGTCTGTCTGTCTGTCTGTCTGTCTGTCTGTCTGTCAGGCGATGCAGTACATGGAGCTTCTCCCTGAAGACAGGCGACCTGTGGCTGGCACAGCAGGATCGTTGTATCGCCACAAGCAACTGATAAGACAGCTACCTTCCTACGATCACGACCCTGCATACTGCCACAGCCTGTCTGAGGTGGAGTTGAAAGCTATGGCTCAGTTTGTGAAATCCTTTAAGGAGGAATCCTTAGGAGTAGGAGAGGTTGCCCTGCCTGGAGAAAAATGTACAGCAGTGAAGAATGAAAAGGCCTCCCATGAACAACCAGATCCTGAGACTACTGCAAATGGAACAGCACAGTCTCCGCTCAGCAATAAGAGTGAATATGTGAGTTTAGTTCAATCTTTGCAAATGGCTGACCGTGTGAACGCAAGCTAATTTTAATGACTAACCCAACACCCTCCCTTCAAGGACATGCTCAAATAGAGATTTAATCTCCTCCTGAAGGTAATTTATAACTTTATGGCCCTAAAGTATCTGAATTAAACACAAACATAACCTACAACATGATTTGGAAAGTCTGTCATTTCTTCCCAAATCATGTACTAACTGTTACGGAACTAAAACAGTCCATCAGTGACACCAGCATCTCTCGCCTCCCCTGAGCCCATTGAGTTTTAACAGACCCCCTGAAGCGTGCCGTGAGTTTGGTGGGGGGTAATTGAGAATGAATGGGGGAAAGTCACATGAGAGCGATATGACTGTTTAATACTGGTTATGATCTGCTATGATTGGTTCTTTCGTTAAATCCCACCTCTTGTGTTCGTGCACATTTTGCGTTCGCGAATCAGTCTGAATGAACAAAGTGATGGGAAGTCTAATTAAATAATAAGTATAAATCACAACTTTGTCACATCTAAATGAAACTTCAGATGGCCTGAAAACATGATCTGTGGGTTTTTTAGCATGCAATCAGCTTGTTGAAATGAAAGGTACATCCCCGCATCTGAGACCAGTGTTTACTGAGCTCTGATGATCCGAATATAAGTTTATTATGAAAAATAACAGCTGAACATCAGTTCATTAATAAAATATATGATTGTTTATATAAAATATATTGTTTAAATTGTTACTGGCTCGAGTTATTATTTTGGAATAAATGTAAAATGCTTAAAAAAACTGATGAGATTTATACTTGGTTTTAATAAATAGAATAGCCTATTAATTACATTGGTAATGCAAAAATACAAAATAGATTTTGACTCTGGTAGTCTAAGTAATGTTTAACCAAGAAAATGTGACTGGGACATGAATTAACATTTAAGAAAAAAATAAAATAAAAAATGTGAGGACTTTGCCTTCTCATTTCGGCTTGTTCATGGCTTGTTTCTGAGGGGATCATCACTTATGAAGACATGATGGCATATACACATAACTGCAAACAAAGAAACAGCAGGCCATCAGTGTTTTATAAAACTTCTGGTGATTGTATAGTGGTTTTGTTGACCTAGACTTAAGTAATTTGACACCTATTGACACCCTTAATTGTCTGTACATTAAGGGGTAACTAGTCCTTCCTACCAGCCCAAAAAATCTTTTTTACTAGGTAAATAAAATTGGTTCCTTTTCGATAATTCATTTGTACTGCATCGCTAGACGCTATGGGGAAAAACTCCTTTTTCTCCAAGGAATGAAGCCTTTACAATCTAGTGTAACTGCATGGCCATTGGTTCGTGCAGTGAATAAAAAGCGAACCAATGGCTCGGCAGCGACGAAGCCCGCCAGAGCCCGCCAGAATGGGCGGGGCCATCTGGATATATAAGCGGGCATTTCGCTTTAGGATCTCAGATCAATTCTCCTTCAGCGACGATGATCTTATCTGTGTGAGTCTACATGATCCCATCCTAAGAATTTCTGTATAACTACTATAATGTTCAAAATATTAAAACAGGACAAAATTAATGTCCTCAGAGATCAAGCCATTAGATCAGTTTGCCTTCTCACAACTTTTGCTATAACAAATGCGCCGTGCAGGGCCAGTGCTAAGGGGCCAACGTTTTGCCAATGAGCAAATGCTTAGGGGCCCTGCGCTGGCAGCCCAAAGTGGGCCCGTAAAGGGCCAGTGCAGGCTTGTTTGCAGGGTTAGCTAAATGGAGGTAATGATCTGAGATGTCATCACTCTGCTGCAAAATCAACATCAATTCCATGTGACAGCATTAAAACTAGAGTAAGATTACAACAAGTAGACCCTGACACGTGTTGTCTAACCCCAATAGAGTTCAGAATGTCTACAAATGCTGATCCCAATGCATTGTTATCTTTATCAACATGGATATTAAAATCACCAAAAATTAAGACTTTATCTGCAGCCAGCACTAACTCAGATAGAAAATCAGCAAGTTCTTTGATAAAGTGTGTATGGTGCCCTGGTGGCCTGTATACAGTACAAATGTCCAAAGGGATTCATCACTTACACTAGAATAGATAATGTTACATAAAGCACCATTGCTTCAAAATAAATAAAATAATAATACTTGAAACCAGACCTCTTAACTGAAAATATTACTAAACATTGTAGCAACACCTCCTGCTTTACATTGTTTAAAGAGCGGCTCATGTTTATAACATTACTTTAAACGAGTCTACCCCCAAAGGATAATGTAATCATCTGGTTTTAGCCAGGTTTCTGCCTAACAGAGCACATATGGTCTGTGTTTGCTGTATATCATTTAAGCGCTTTTGTAGAAAGGGATCTAATATTCATAAAGCAAAGCTTTATCATTTGTTTGTCTGTATTGTTATTTTTTTATTTATCAATATTTCAATTAAATTGATAACCTTAAATGGGTTAGGATGTTTTTTATTGTATTTGCTAGTTCAGGGAACAGACACAGTCTCTATAGGATATCTAGATAAAAGAGTCTCTGTATGTGCTGAGATTCTGTGATGTGAGGCGGCTAGGAGCTGGTTGGTTTAGACGGCCTGTCTGCTTCCTGACCTTTCTAACCTCTCGATTACCGAAAATATTGACTAACTCAACTAAATCATATGAAAAAAAAAATTATACTGTATATTTTCATGTTTTCTCAAGCAGAGCAAATATGGAAAGTACACTGAAAACATCATATTTTGGCATGGACGTGTATGTTAATGGTATTTGGCAACACACTTGAGCAAACTAATCAAAGTGTAGCACATAGCACTCAGCAAACCTAGACTCTCTCTAAAGCATGCATACACAAGTAAAGTCAAAGCGGAGTTTGAGTACATTTTTAATTAACAAAAGTTAATTGCTGTTGAATTTAGATGTTAAATATGTAGTCCATATTTGATACTATGTGTAGTCCTTAAAATAATATTCTATGTTAAATAAAAAATATAATGCTTTAAATATATTAAATATAAATATATTAATATTAAATATAAATATAATGCTTTAATCAACACTTTTCACAATAAGTTAATCTTGATAGCTGTAATAGTAAAAACATAGTAAAAGTTTTCCACATGCAATACTTGCGTTACCTAATCATAGCAATGGGCTTTCACCATTTTGACTTTTTGTGGTTGATTCAGCTTTGGTATTTTCGCCTAACTCCTTCGTGCCTTCTCTGCCTCTTAGCATTGCAGTGGCTGTGGACAGTTGGCAGCTATGGACAGTCCTGTGGTGTACGCCGACAGGGCCGGGTACACTAGACTGTGGCATCCCAACTGCTTTGTGTGCTGTGAGTGTGGCGAGCCTCTGGTGGACCTGATCTACTTTTGGAAGGAAGGAGCGCTGCTGTGTGGACGCCATTACTGCCAGAGCATCAGACCTCGCTGCCTGGGCTGTGATGAGGTAAAATAAAATGCTTTTTAAAACACACTTTTACTAAAAGGTATAAAGAAATTAACTGAACTTTTAGAAAACTTTCACAACAAGGCATAACCAAGAAATCTACATTTGGTTACATATTCTTTAGCTTGAGATGTGTATGTGAAATAAACCAATGAATTCTCTCACTTTCTTTTGTAGCTGATCTTCTCAGAAATGTTCCTGCAGGAGGCCAGCGGTCATGTGTGGCATAAGGAACACTTCTGCTGCTGGCTGTGTGGGCAGAATCTCAGAGTTCAATGTGCTTGTGACAAGCAGCAATCAAAATAGTTCAGAATAGACAGAAAATACTCCAAAATATGTTAAAATGGCACTTTCTGTGTTTTAAAGACAATTTTCCACTATTTTAACTTTTTTTTATTGGTGTAATTTTTGATTTGCTTATAGAAATCCATGCAAACCCTGACATATTATTCTATGGCAGCATCCTCAAAAATACAAAATATCAGTGTTTATTGAAAGTCTAGGACCTATTAAAGGGGTCATGAATTGAGAAATCAAATTTTCCCTGATCTTTTGACACATAAGACGTCATTGTACTAAAATGTATAAAAATAGAATGTAGTTTGCAGAACTTCCTTGTTAGTCCAAAAACAACTTCTCTTGAAACCAAGCTGCCAAAACTAGTTTCCACTTCTGAGTTTTAATAGAGTAATACGTCAGCAACAAGATTGCCTGCACAGACACAAGTCAATGCCTGATTCATCATCGCACGCCCACAAAGTAAATTCCCGAGTGTTAAATTAACACTGCTTGGAGCATATATGGTCCCACTCTAAAAGAGTGTTAAAGTAACACTGAGTCTCTGATTGCAATTTATCTAAGACTGTAGTGCTTTCATGTTTTCTATGTTGTTGCAGTTATATGAGATAACGATGTGAGAAAAACTTTATAAATGACTTTTATAAACATGGCTCATAAAGAGGTTTCAATTCTGGCACTCATAGACATGAAGAATCAGCATGTGAATCTCAGCAATGGTGACAAAGTATTCTGATAATTTTTAAGTGATTTTTGAACGTGACAAAACAAGGCAGTAAAAAGTCAACAAAAATAAAAGCAAATAGTAAAAATAAAAGAAAATACTAAGACAATGCAGCTGCATAACTTGTTCATGTCGCAATGCATGCTGGGAGCCATGGATGAGTTATGATTGGTGCACCCAGAATGCAATGCAACATGAATCTGTCTGATGATTTTTAGATGCATGACACACAAAAATTCAAACTGGTTAGTAATGTGTGAAGTTGGTGATGCTGTTTGTGGAGTTGTTTAATCATCGTCTGCTGAGATCTTGAGAGATTTAATGTCTTGTATTTCAGTTAATTTAATCTAAGTCTGTGGCTGAAGTCAGTTGTAGTTCTTGTGTTTCTCTTTTCTTCAGTGATTCTGCTTGTTAACAGCAGCTGTTCATCACTAATGCTCAATCAGCACTTAATTAATCACTTAATTATCTCATTAACTTTAACACTGCTTCAGTGTTACTTTAACACTCTTGTAGAGTGGGACCATATATGCTCCGAGCAGTGTTAATTTAACACTCTGGATTTTACTGTGCACTAATGCATTGTATGGACACGTTTACATTGTAGACACGTGTCTTTAAACAGTGTTCAAATTAGAGGTTTTCTCAGGTCCCAATATCTGTACCTGATCCAATTCAACCTGAGACACTTCTCACCCAACATGCATAAATTATTTTTTTAGAAAATGAATAATCCAACCTGAGACAGACCCTGTTTTTGTTTCAAACCCAACTGGGTATGACACAAACCAAAATCACAACACTACAGCAGATGTAGATTTATCTTACCTTATTTGTTGTAGATAAAATATGTTCTCCAATCCTTTTTTGTAACAAAAAAAAAAAACAGCTATGTTTTTAAACCCATGTTGCCAGAAGCCAAAATTATGTAACCTATTCTTTGTCAAAAATGTGAAGGAATAGATAAACTGAGCATAAGCTGTATGTTGCACCTCAAAAAAGGAAATTTATGTTAATATTGGTAAGAAAATCCCCACACTCATTTGCTTAAATGGCTTGGGTATTGCAGAGCGCCATTTATACAGTATAGATGCACCAATATTCAGGAGAGTTTGGTAATTTATACAATGTATATTAATATATTAAAATAAAACATTGTTAGATGCCTGAAACGAAAAGTTGGCATATTTTAAAAGAATTTGGGTCCCACTTTATTAAGCAAACTTAACTACTGTATACTTACATCAACAAATAAGTACAATGTACTTATTGTGTTCATATTGTATTACAAAACACTTTTGCTGCTATTTAGGTGGGATGTGGGACAGGTTTGTTGGTATGGGTAGGTTTAAGACTGGGTTAAGTTGTAAGGGATGGGTCAACAGTGTAATTATAAATGTAATTACCTAAATTAATTTCAGATGTAATTACATGCAGGTATTTTTTTTTTTAAATATAAGTACAATGTAAAAACATGTATGTATTGTACACAATAATTGCGTTGTACTAAATTATTAATTTAAATGTAAGTACATTATAAGTTAAGCCACTTAATATAAAGTGGTACCAGAATTTGAAGTCCATTCTATACATTTATTTTAAATGACTCAGGAATCAAGGCTACTAATGTCCGTCCCGACCCGTGTCTGAGGCACCTGTCAAGGTTTTGAACCCAAACCCGAACCTGCTTGGGTTTCGATCTAAACGTGCATCTGTGAGAACCTCTAGTTCAAATCAGAAGGCTAAACAAAGTCCCTTTCAAGGAAAGACACTCAGCGACATGTGCTAATTTCAATTATCCAAGACGCAGTCCAATCTCTCTGAATGGGGAAATCCTGAAATGTCAAAAACAGCTTGCCACATTAATATTTCAATAATATATTTCAAATCAGAAACAATAAATCCAAAAATAGAAATGTTCTTTTTATGCTCAAATAGAAAGTAGTTTTTAGAATGTATTTCAGTGATGCAATGACTTTACCAAAATCATTGTAAAGAATGGCCTTTTATTTAAAAATTATGTTTTTGACATAAAAATCCTATTAACATTATAATTGCACCTCAGGAAACATGAGAAAATATTATTCTGCAATATAAAAAATTGCAGTTCATGACCATTTTAAGAGTACTGGAGATGCATTAATTGATGGAGATGCATTATCTGATAAAGACCATTTGAATATTTTTATCTCAATCAGTCGTCACTCATTTTTACTTGATTATTTGGAGGATTTATCTATCTTTGAAGAAAGTGGTCCACAAACAACAGCGATTTAAGTCTGTTTACAGCCAAAATATTCATGATGTCAGCCTGCACTCAGGAGTTTGTCCAATCAGATGCCCGAGAATGTTTTTCTGTTTTCACTCCTACGGCATCCAATACTGCCGCATATGTAAGAACTCGGCTATTCAATTGCTTTCAATGGAAAACCTTTAGTATCAGTATATTACTAAGGTAATCCAAGGTAATATAATATGGCACAACTATGAGTGTGATACGAACAACAATGGAGTGTTATAAAAAAAATTTTAATCCCAACCCTTCTTTAAAAATGTGAAAATGTCACTTTATAACTATTAACGAACGAATGCTGAGTTGCTTCATTAAAGTTAAAAGCTTATTGAATTATGTACAGTAGAGTATTATGAGACAGAGTGAGTGAATACCTGCATCTGAACTGAAACAGCATTCATTGTTCAGCTCAGTCTCATAGTAAAACAGTTTGTTTTAATGTCCACTGAGAAAAGCTAGAAAAAAGTTTGTACAGCAGGAAATAAACACAAGTAAACAGTCTTGCAACAGTAATTCAGTCAAAAGGACAAGGCATGGCTCTGATAAAGAAATTAACCATAAAACATATTACTTATTACTATATTAATGTGGCACTAAAACACTTTCATGTATTAAGCAGCCAATATGACATAACAGTCCACAGGGTTTGGTCTAGTCAGTGATTCTCAATGGGGACTCACAGGACGGCACATTTTGTTTTTTCTCCCTTATCTGTCATAGCAGGTTCAGTTTGTGGTGCTTCCTGCTAACAGGCTGATGAATTGGATCACTTGTGAATAAGAGAGATATCCAAAATGTGCAGTGCTGTGGGTCCCCAGGACAGGAATTGAGATCCACTTGATTTAATTGACATTCAGTGGTGGTGCAGTGGTTGAATTGTTTAAAAAAGGCAGAGGTTTTAGTGTTGTACTGTCATTCTGCACACACTTTGTTTCAAGGGCATATGCTACTGCATACATAAATATTGCCAGTAGCTGCCAGATACAAAAGCCAGAGCCTGTCAAGCTTAAGTACGTAGGTGAGAGTTCATGAAGTGAGTTCCTACAAATAGTTCCTTGCACTGAGGAAATAATTGTAAGAGCTTTTTATTGCGAATGTTTTTGTAAATATTAAATTACTTAAAGGTATATGCTTTGGATTGAATTCATAGGTGAGTGTACATGAGTGTTTGATGTTTAATATAATGTAAGGTTTTCAAACAAAGGTAATTGTGAGTTAAAATTATCATCGATCAATATAATTGCCGTTATGAAATGTGTCCTGTGACTGCGTTGAGAACTGCATTTAACCAGTTAGTAAAATTTCTGGAAGCAATTGTATTCTTGTTGTTTTTGACAAAAGTATATGTTTTTCATGAGAAAATATGCCTTTACGGTAGCTATTGTTTATTCGTATTTAGTTAATGACTCATTAAAATTAGACTGAAGGTAGAGACTAAACTGGAAGAGAGGATTATTTCCAGCTATTTGATTTGGAAATTGCCATACAAACTGGAATGTCAACCTTTTGTATCTCAGTTTAACAAACAGATGTTTAAAAGGGTTCACATTGCTCAATGTATTTTAAAAAGTTTCGCTCAGCTTTTAATCACGTTTGTCTAAACGCTTAATCAGCAATTGCTACTTTTGTGTAGGTATTCAGTCGGTTTGCCTTGGGGAATAAAGACTGGCTTAAAATGATTGTGTTTGTTTTCATTTTATTGGAATGTGTGGTGAAACATCTCGAGCAGTGGTGTAATTAGGATTGTCCACCACCACTCTGGCAGCAGCGGAGGAGAGGAAGAAGTGCAAAAAAAGTGCTACAAGAGCTGCTGGTACTTTTGCAAAACAATGCAGAAAACAGAATTATTTTTATCTTTTATACATACATTATATGGTTCCACCATTCAAATAAACCAAAGTTCAAATTTGTAACAACTTTTTTCATCCACATTTAGCATTAATTACATGATAATAAATTATTATTATATTAAAAGCATTTCATAATAAACAATGTAACAATTGAGAAAATTATTGGTAACACTTTATTTTAAGGTGTCCATTTTACATGTTACATGTACTTAATAGTATAATAACAATTAATTATGCACACTGTAAAACCCAACAAGTTATGTTAGCTCAAATCGTTTGAGGAAACCGATGACCTTAAACCATTTAAGTTTTAAAACTAATAGTTATGAGTACACTGAACTTATTTCAGTTGAGTTCACTACATTGCAATTAAGTAATTAAGTGATTAATTAAGTGATAACTGAGCATTAGCGATGAACACCTGCTGTTAACAAACAGAGTAATGCCGAGTTCACACTGCACGATTTTCAAACTCGTCAGATCGCTGTTGTTTTCACACTGCGTGACTATCTGGGGTAGCATTCAGTTGCTGCTGTGTTCACACTGCACGATGGATCGGCGACAGGGGGTTTCACATTGCATGACTTCACAATAGGAAGAATCGCCGACAGCTCTGTCTGGTCTGCAAACTACGTTTCACAACAAAACACACGAGAGAAATGATAAGGAAATAACGCCAGAACCCGCGTGCGTCAGACCGGACTTCTCGTGAGCAAGACTGTAATTATTAAAATATATATATATATATAGCCCGCAAATTGTCTGTGAGCTGATTTCCAGCCACAAGGAGAAAAAGAAAAACAGATTATGCAGGAGG